CACACACACACACACACACACACACACACACACACACACACACAGTAACCCAGAACGTGCCTTACTGACCTCACCTGACGGTGTGGGCGTGGCCTAACGGTCGCACCTGGGACTGTTTGTATTAGCCGTCCAGATGCTGATGCTGATGATGAAGAGTAGAGTCTAATAAATTAATAAAGCCTTACAGACTGATGTTTGTGTGGTCCCTCTGTGTTTGCTGTCTCTCTGTGGGGTATGACGTCACACACAGTGCATGCTGGGATACTGGGTCAGGCTGACAGATGGAGAGAAAACAGCCAAATCAGAGAAAGGAGAATATCTAATCCTTAATCCAGCGAGCCCCTCCCCCTGCACACACACACACACACATTCCTGGAAACAAACACAGGATTAGGATTAACTGATGATCTTTAAATCGGTCAAAATTTGAATGGACTTTGGTTCACAGCTTGCTCCTCTCCTCTAAAGCTGACCTTTGACCTGCAGCTCAGCAGTCAGCTCCTCCTCCCTGTGAGGCTGCTGGCCCTTTAAGAGAGGAAGAGCACAGGATGAGCCCCCCCCTCACACACACACACACACACACCCTCCTCCTCCTCAGCCGCACATTGTTCTGTGGCTCCGGGAGAAGCCACTTCCTCCTCCTGCTGCTGCTGCTGCTGCTCAGCCCGCTGCAAACGGACAGACAGACAGTTTCAGTGCCTCCGACGGAGGGACGGCGTCTGTCTGTGTGTCCGACGGGATCAGCCGAGGGGGGCGGACACGCGAGCACAGACAAAGACTCGCAGACAGACGAACAGACTGGACGAATGGACTGACAGGATGCGGCACCGCTGGACCCTCGGGCTCGCCCCCAGGTAGGAACAAAGACTCTCCTCCTTTTTTCATGGATGCTCCCACTCCTGTTGTCATGGTAACCATTTCCTAGTCTGAGGTCACGGAGAGGAGGAGGGCCGGTTTGTTACATCAGCCGGCGCTTCCTGTTTTTACCTGCGTGATGTCATCAGACGTCTGCGGGCCACGTGACTGTAGAGCTTTTGTTTGTTTCAGCTGCAGCTGAGATTTTCACAATAAACAAACAGCATGATCAGCTTCCTGCTGACAGCAGCCTCGTGATCGATGAACGTCCACACTTACATGATAAAGCATCCTGACTCATTTACAGCTTTGAATCTTTTTAGAACTTTATTGTGAAAATTCCTCAAACCTGTTTGTAAAATATATAAAAAATGTTTATTTTATTCTGAAATCAGACATCACTGTGGAACAACAGCAGAGTTCTTGTTCAGACTGTTAAAACCTGTTTACACCTGTCTGAGGTTCTCTGTTTAGACCTGGATGTAGCTCTCTGTGAGGTTCTCTGGGGTTCTCTGGGGTTCTCTGAGGTTCTCTGGGGTTCTCTGGGGTTCTCTGGGGTTCTCTGAGGTTCTCTGGGGTTCTCTGGGGTTCTCTGGGGTTCTCTGGGGTTCCCTCTGCATCTCTTTAAGTGCTGCTGGTTCTGTCAGAAATGCTCTCCTGTCCGTTAGATCAGAGTCTGGGATGTGTTTGGACCTCCTCAGGTTGGTCGTTTAGAATCTTGGCTGGTTTGTTTTGATCCTCAGTGATACTTTGACCTCTGACCTCTCAGCGCTTCATTCATCGTCGTGTTTC